TTCGGAACGTCTGGATCCTGTGGCATTTATACGAAGTGGATCTCCCCCCAAAAGGTTTTTCGTCCGGTATGAAATTGCGCGCGTCAGAGTATTCTCACGGAACTCGGTGATTGTGCCATATCGAGAACCGTGGAATAGTATGTCTCATCAGCGGGTCCCGAAACAACAGGTAGTGGCGAAGCGGAGACTCCCGAGAGTGATAACAAGAGACAAGGGCAGAACAAAAAAAAAAGCGATCGTCTTGATCAAGGCTTGTGACATCGCTGAATCGGGCCGTCTCAATATCTCTTGTGATACTTCAGACCAAGAGCGCGCACTGTAGCCGTAGATATCAATCCCGATCAAATCGAGATGGACGAAAGTAGTCACGAAACATTAAAACAACGCTCCTTGTCCTATTGTTTCAGGTTCCTCTTGGGGGTGCCATTATTAACCATCGTTTAATTCGTTTGGAGCTCGGACAAAGCTCGGAAGCTTTGGCATGCGCCAACTGCCACTGACCACTAAGTCCCCACAAAGATTACATTTCTGCATATACATGCGGCATAACTGAACTGTAAATAATTACCACACGGGGTGTCGGCATTTAGCTCGTGGTAATAGATCCGACCGATCCATCACGGAGAGCTGTGGGACTCTACAAATTCTCCACCCTGATGGGAAGCCGCGGCATATCATCGACGCTTGGTGCTGCGGTCGAACCCATCTTCCACTTTATTAGTGCCGAAGCACTGGAAAAGCGAAATGCGCGCAGCAGAACGGAGAGCACTATTTCTGTTTTCAATGCTAGTCAGGAATATGTTTGAGAGAGCTGTGTAGATGCTGCTGCGACTTACTCAACTCCAACTGAGCGAACTTGAAACCGCTTTAAACCGGTGATCAAAATTTTCACTGCAAAAACCCAACCACAGTGCTTACATGCAACTGCGCCTCCCCCTACAAACGTCATCATATTTCCGTAGACGCCCGACATGCGAATGGTGACACTCTTCGCCTTGCCGTTTGTCCATCGCTCAGGTTTGAACTCGAGTGCGTCTTCGCCCCATATGGTCTTGTTGTGATTAGCGGCAGAAATGCCAATATATATTCCCGTTCCCTTAGGAACTGCGATAGAATGGATGGGTCGTCCGTCGATGCCGGTTATGGGAATTGCTAGTGGAAGTATCGCATCTTTAGTTGCCCTGGGTCAAGAGTATCAGTAAAGACGGCGTTTAATTATTTACTCTAGGCCATACACTCGAGACATGGCAGGCGCGACGGGGGGGTATCTATATCGCTGAATTAGACACCGTAAGAATAATATTTACAGGCGCAGTGTCTCGTGAATAACTGCATCGAGATACGGCAGTCCCACAAGCACATCGTGGCCCATGTGCTCTTCAGTTGTCAAAATTTCCGCCCGGAGTTTTTCTTGGACGTCTGGATGCAATGCCAGAAGATGGATAAGCCTGCTCAGCGCCGAGGAGGAGGTATCCGTAGCGGCTTGGATGATCATTCTGGTCAAAAGTGGGAATAAAGTTCAGAAGTGGCTGTCAAAATGACCTCAACGAACGATGTTTGTGCCACAAGTTCGTCGTTCGTGACGTGCATATCTTCATCGGCAGTCATATTGTTCTTGACTAGGGAAGTTATCAGTAATACCCAAGGGACAGGGAACGGCTCACGCAAAAGGCTCATCATATCTTTCGAATTCTCTTGGACTTCTCCGCGCATGATCGCTTCGTTTTTGGCATGCACTAGAGCGGTGGCCTTAGTGTCCATGATCTTCACGATACTGCTTAGCTCGCGCAACGTCTTCGAAGGAATTAGTTTTATTATAAATTCACGAAGGGCAGGAGTCCCAATCGATGAAACCAGCGGCAACGTGGGCAGCAAGACCACCAGTTTATTTACAGTAGGCTTACCTGCGGTTATTGTGAATCCAAAAAGCATATATGCATTCACCAACACGAGATCCTTCAGCGATTCCGCGTACTGGTCCGTCGGCTCTTCTCCAGAGGTCATCGAGTCAAAGGAGTAGCCAATGCCAGCGCGACCTATAAACTCGAGGGAAGTGCGACTCATGATGGAATACATATCGAGCTGATGAGATGACTCAGAAACATAATTTAATTGAGCTTTGCGCGCACCTCTTGCGGTCCAGCCTGGAGTTGAGGTGCAATTAAACCATCGCGTAACTACGAAAGTTCAGTCGCAAGATCGAACTACGACATGACCGTACCTTATCCGCCACCTCGTAGAGCACAGGCATCATGGTACGAAGATTCAGTGTGGAAAGGCTAGCAGCATGATTTTTCGATGCCGCCGATGCTCATCACCGGTCGTAGACAGTATGCCCTTACCGAACAATAGCCCACTCAAACTTCACACCTTTAGCTTTTGACATTTATCTCAAATAATCGAGGAGCGACAAACCTCAGAAACATTGGAGTCTCCTCATATATGTCCTGATCCTTCACGAGGATGCTATGCAGAGCAGCAGTGTCAAACACGTGGAGTAATCGGCCCTGAAGTAGCGTCAGCAGTAACCATGAGGAGGCCAGATAACGGACTCCCAAAAGGCCATGGATCTTGACGACTCCTTGGTACTCCTGCTCCAAGGTCTTGTGAAACTCCCACGCATCAGGCGCGTGAAATTGCGCGAGATTCCCTTGTGTTCGCATCAACTCCGAAAACTCGAACTACGGACGTGTAAAGGAGAATACCTGTAATGAAGGAGTTCGAGGGCGGCCCCGGGATGTTATCAAGAGGCGAACGTCCAAGAAGCCATCGGACAATGTTCCAAAACGCATAAGTTAGCACCGCCAGCACAGCAGTTCGGATAATGTCTCGGAACATGACGGGCAACAGGGACAATGTCCCTTGGGTATGTAGAGGTATGTAGCAAGTGTAGGCAACTGTGGGTGGTAACGAAAGGAAACGGCGTTGCTTAGCGGCATCTCTTCAATGAGAAAAAAGGACCCAGAAACTCGGATCTTCACATGGCCTGATGGTTGACAGGGCTGTTGAGCAAAAATCCGGATAAGCTATGTTCAGAAATTAATATTCATGGGGACCAAGACTGGACCGGTTGTGCCCACACAGCCATCTGGGATCCTTGGGAGACGCTGCGGGACGGCGCATTACTCGACGCACCGCTATGGCACTTTTTTAATTCAAGAAAAAACGTTGTGCCGTGATCGGCCGTGATTCTCGGAAGTGCGGGTGTTCCTGAAGAATTCGCACTGCCACCAGCCATACCGATCACGCGATCACGGAATGGAGACGGAGGCATTTAAACAGTAAGCCCGCCATCAAGCGGCTTCAAGCCAGCGTAAATCTTTGTTACAACCATTTTTTTTTCCTTTTGAAACGCCGACACCACGGCCGAAAATGCCCTACAGTCTCACGGAATTACCGGTTAATGCGGCACGGCATTTTCCCGTTAAACAGCCGCCGGTAACTTCATGTGTGGGTATTTTTAGTACTTTCATCCAGCTATTTCAAGGATTTCAAATTGTTTTGCCACTTTCGAAAATCTGCACCTTGGAAAGGACATGTCCTGTTCTGCCGCCGTTCGAATTTGTTGCAGTTAGAACAATACCGTAGTAGTCTCCCATGCATTCGCGAATCTGGGATCCTAAGTCAATCCCAAGTACTCCTGTGAATACCTTTTTTTCATTTCTGAAATGCGTGTCATCAACATAAATCTCAGATTCAAGAGACACCGAGGTCACTAGTCACAAACGGTTCCTTTCCACGGGACCGGAGACATGACAGGTATTTGGGACTCCGTGGGATTTTACCCTATTTACCCAGGGAGACCCAGAGCTGGTCCTCGGAGTCTTGGCGGATGATAGACCCTTGCTTTTAATTCTTTCTCAGTCTGTCATACTTCGTACCTGCTTCGCACCGACTTTCCCTTTTTGAAGTCCGTCCGATACATCATGAGACCTTGAACGAGTGCCAAAATTTGGCTATTTAGGCAAAATGGTCACAGGCAAAATTAAATTTCCCACTCGAAGAAAGTGATTGAGTCCTGCTTGAGGGGAGTCTCCACTCCAATCAAAAGCTTCAGTCCACTCGTCTAATGATGAAGGATCGTAGGATGGTCAAGCAGGAATTAAGAACTGTGGAGCTACAACCGGAATTAAATTTCCGTGAGTCAGTTGGTTCAGGGGAGAAGAAATTAATCCTTTTAGCTCGGGACGACCCGATGATTGATTGATCTGCGCTGATAAGAATGATGCGCTATCACGCCTAAATTTTGACAAGTTCCGCCGCGGCGTCGGGCGGCTTTGCGGTGTCTTGCCTCTCCAAAGGATTTTTTTCAAAAAAAAAACCCTGTCAATAAAGGATTGTGCTGACCATCTGCTCAAACCGACCATTCCTTAACCACTAATTAGTAACACATTTCAACCCGAGTAACACCGGGACCTTCGCTACAAGTTGGGACCCAGTATATACTTTCAATGTGTGACGAGGTTGCAAAGGGCAGTCGCATTTGCTCGAAGTCAGAAACCGACCAGAAGTAGATTATCCGAAAGACACACTACGAAATTGCATTGTCTAAGAGATGATGGATCCATGGAATTACTTGGCGTGTTGGGTCCTAAATAGCTGCAAGGAAAGACACTCAACGCTGAATGGCCGGTACTGAAAACGGTGATCCATATACTGGCTACCCGGCAGCAAGACGGTGATTTAATTAATCCGCAAGATCAAGGGACAACTTGCACTGACAATCGGTTTTGGCGTGTGCAAAGTCTATTCCCGGGAAATGTGTAGGTTCCTAGTTCCTTCAAATTTTGTCAGCGATAGACGGGCATGAAAGCATGCACCCAGGGCGAATTTTTGTTAGGCGTGGAACGAAAGTGAATTGACTCTGCATGCCTGGTTAACAATCGATTTCACCTCGCGCGGACAATATCGCATTGAAAATGTTTCCGCTAAATTGGAGCCCTTTGAGCTGGAGCCAGGTTTTTTTGGTTATTATCTACCTGCAAAAATAAAGGGCATATTCGGATATAGTGCAAAGGATAGCGCGGTTCTCGTGATCGTTCGTCGGGAATCCGGACGGAGAGCAGATCGGGGTTCAATTCCCCGTTTCCGTACATTTTTGAATGTAGCTGACGGGAAGCGGGCAGCTCCCAATTTTATTATATCCCAAAAGATTTTCTGAGTGAGTAGACCTATTTTTGTTTGGAGATGCGTTACAAACTTTGGGCTGCCTCGGGCGAACGCCCGCCGCCGCAAATGTCTGCTTCTCTTTTTAGGGTCCTCTTACAGTCAGAGATTAAGCTGGTACTACTTCTCTGATTTCGGCGGGACAATTCATGTGGAGAAGTTAGTGGGTGATTAGCGGTAGAACCTTGGCAAAGATATGGATATCGGATTGCACTCGGATGCCACATCTATCCTCAACTCTACCTGTTGAAGGAGCTGCAGCCGCGTGGTTTGCAGCTTTAACTTTCACGGTAGGACCTAAAACCGGGTGATGCAACTTAGGGGCTCACTGCGTTCCGTGGGCTCGTCGGCAGAGACTCTGCCGATGTGACTCTGCCGACCTTTGCCGACCTTACATTAGACAGCGCCGTGCTACAATATTTTGACTCCGGAGGGCCTTGAAACCATTGTCTGTGTATTGTGTGGCCCAAAATATGTATGGGACACATTTTTGGTAGACTCCGGCACTGTCCAGCGAGATCGGCAGATGTCGGCAGGGCGTCAACCCACGCGGCAGAATTATGCCGACCCTGCCTCGGCAGAGTCTCCCAGGGTAGGTGGACGGGGTGTGACTTGGCGGATTTGACGAGAAAAAATAAAGGTTGAACATCTCTTGCCGGATGGATCTCAGACTCCACTTGAAGTCATTTCCCCAAGTGTTCCGGGCTCATATATTGCAGATGTGTGTCCTTGTTTACTGCTTTTCCTTGCGCGCCATGTCTCGTGACTCGTGAATTTCTGTTTTTCTGCTACGAATCTCTTCCATCGAGGGAGTCCTGACCGGCGAGCCTCATCTTGAGATTTTCGAATGTGTATGTTTCGCCTTATACATTGCTTACACGCCATCTCCATGCCTTCATTTTCGCGCCCAGGCGCCTTGACGTGCTGAGCGACCTTAGAAAGCCCCACTTTTCTGGGGGTCGTCTGGTTTCTGATAGCTCGGCTCTCAAATTCTCCGAAGCCACCCACACCATGAGGTTAAGGCCGGTGAATTTCGCATTGGTGTCCCTCGAGAGCAGGCCACATGAATGAACGTATGCTATTGTACCGCGCTCAATTGGAAATATTTTGGCATTGGCGAGTCGAATAGGTCCCTCTTTTACCCTTCCACTCAATGTTACGCAGCTTCAGATTGTCGCTCTCTCTGCGGCGAGGCGGGGAGAAGCGAAAAAACCCATGTGCATCTCTAATCAGATAATCGGCAATCAGCAATCTAATCAAATCTTATCAATCGGCTGTTTAGAGACCCAGCGGGGCAGGTTCGAAAATTCTCCGTGTTTTACCGAACTATAAAATGATAAAGATTCTGGAATGCTTGACAGTTCGGTTCCCCCTCCACTTCTGTATGATGTCGGCTCCATTTTCACCCATCCCTGGTGACCTTTCGCTTTCAACTGGTTTAGAGGACAAGACCTTGGCTCAGAGTGTCGACCCGAATCGTGTCATACGCATCCGGCTTGCCAACTTGTACCCCAAACAAATATGGTACTTTCTTGCGGTATTCATCGCCCTCGTTTCCTCCTGGCACATTATTTCTGTCCTACTCTTGCATCGTCGACGGAACGCCGCACCCGCTGTGGAAGACAATCAGAGGGGATCGATATCGTGGCGTAGACTTCCACTGGCCATGCTGAACTTCTCCCGCGCGGTTACATTCCGATGGACGATCATCATCGCGCGGACGTATTCATTAAACCTTGCGGATGTCCTTCTCACTGGGATGTACATCACGATTCTATTTACTTGGAATTTCCACAATTGTACGTGCCAGTGGTCTTTCTGTACCATCCTATTCTGATGTCACACCGTCAGCCAAAAACGTCCAGGGCCTTCGGTACGATCCAAAATACTGGGCCAACAGGGCCTCCCACATTGCGGCGACGCAGCTCCCTCTCATGACTGCGTTCGGAATGAGGAACAACTTTATTTCCCGTGGGTCTTTTGATCTTCAAATGCACTTCGGTCTCAAGTCTGTTCTAAGTGATTGCCGGGATTAGCTTCGACAAGGTATCGTCAATAAATTTCTCATGGTCATTCGCTTCCAACCCTTTATACAGCTCAACTATCTCCACCGCGTTACAGCACGAGTCATTTGTGTTTTGTTCTGGGTTCATGCCATCGGGCGCGTGAGTAAAGGGTGTCTTTTCGACCTTGCATCTTCTAATGTTTTATGCCCTAGTCACAGCTTATGTACGCAGACGTAGTTCAATTTTCTTTGGTTCAGTCAGTAAATCTTCGATCTCAGATTTCACGATATCGACCAGGCTTGGTTTGGATGGGGAGTGGCCGGCGGTTCCGCTCTGCTACTTTTATGCCTTCTGTCGTTACGCCCACTACGTTCTCGCAGTTACGAATGGTTTCTTATTATGCATCTTGCACTTGGACTGTGAGCGTGATCTCAGCCCGCACTTCTACAAATATACTGATTCGTTCACCTAGGATCACCCTTGTTGGAGCATATCTGCACTCCCAACACCTCGGGTACGCCAATTCCATTCAACGTGGTACACTCTCTTTCTCATTGAATTATCCCACACAGCTATGGTGTATATGTATGGCCATCCATGTTCCTCTGGGGACTCGACCGTTTCTTACGCCTCACGCGTATTGTTTTGGTCAACTCTCGACTTATCTCAGCCTACAATGGATCCAGGAGAATCACTTCGGAAGCCAATGTTCAAATTCTATCACCTCACTTCCTGCGCATTTCTATTCCTTGTCCACCTTATTTCTCTTGGAAGACTGGCCAAAGTTCATACCTGACTTTGTGCGGTGTATCCGCAGCCTCAGTTTCAGAAGCCCACCCGTTCACCATTTCAAATTCCCCACGCGAGAAAGGCAGCTCTTCCTCGGAGCCGTCGAGCCGTTCTTCTATCACCGAAGAGAAACAGTCACCGGCGATTTCTGCGAATGAAGTAAAAAATCTGCGTTCGCCTGAAGACGAGGAAGACTTAATATTCATTCTCCGCGCGCGCACCGGTTTCACCAAACGACTCATGGATTCTGTCACAGCCTCGCCCACTGCAACCGAAAAAACGTTCAAGGCGTTTGTGGACGGTCCATATGGCTCCCCCCCTGCTGTTCGAGGATTCGATACTGTTGTATTTGTTTGCGGTAAGCTTTTCCGGCCGACCCACGACCGTTCTATCTTTATATTGTGGTTTTCAAATTACGCTTAGGTGGATCCGGAGTTTCATTCACGCTCCCTCTCTTCCTCGACCTCATCCAGTATGTCCAACGTTTGTGTCGATATTTGTGCTAACCGCGTAACAGGGCGGCAACAGTAAACACTAACCGGGTGTGCAGGAGGGTTGTTTTCATCTGGGCCGTTGGGGACATTGGTGAGTTTTTATAGATGTCGTCGCCTGCAATCCTCAGTAGTACTCTTGATCTATAGCCCATATTAAGTGGATCTCGGATGCCGTATCTCAGGCTCTTGCCAAGCTATCCACTGAAAACCTTCTTCAAGTCGACATCCGATTGCACGTCACCGCTTCAACCGAGGACACCCAATTCTTAGATGGCGATTCGATCGCCACTAGTGATCCAGAACTCGGCACGGTAGAATCTGATCCTTCCACCGGTTTAAAGGAGCGCCTCCTGGAGTTCCCCGTTGTAAAACTGTCTCAAGGCCGACCCGACATTCCAGGCATTCTGAATACCGAGATCGTTGGTGCACGAGGAAGTCTCAGCGTCAACGGTGAGTAATTTGAACGTCTGATCTCAGTTTAGCGACTGATGTCGATGGTGAAGTCTGCGGCACCATGGAGCTAGCCCAGAGTGCACGTACGGCACTGAGGGGTTTGGATCGATTCCTAGATGTGCTGCGCGGGGGACCTAATATTTCGCTGCATGTGGAGGGATTCGGAAGCTCTTGATATTCCCCGAGATTCTGAGCTGCCGCGCCAGGTTTTTCTTAAAGAAATGTTATGTAATAAATATGCTTCGAAATAAAGAAATATAGACCTATATGCGGTTTAAAACTGACGAGGAACTTCGAAAGCGGGATTGTCCGTGCTATAATTTATGCCGATGTCGCGCAGGGCTAAATATGTGTTGAACGGCAAGATCTCAGATTCCCAAATATGAGCCAATATTGGCTCAGATTGATTGGTTAAAACCGGAGCCCTAAAGTTGCAAAGATATCAGGTGATGATGGCGGCATTGATGGCGGCGTCTGGCGGACCAATCTTACGGAATCGAGGAAGGGATGGTAATTCTCGGCGACAAGATCGAATATATATTTAGCCGAAAACATCGAGGTGGCTGCCGGATCCGGATCGGAAGTTCCCCAGGTGGCGATACAACAATACGAAAGAATTTTGCTCTAGCCATTGCCAAAAATATTATTGCCTTCTCTGACCGCTGCGATTTCTTGAGCTGATAAGTGTAAATTCAAATTGAATACAACGATTTGGGCTGTTCGAGATGTATGTATTTTTCAATATCGCTTGTGTCAAGCGCCAGTGGCAGGGGTCAGATAAACCCGAGCCTCGTAGGGATTCAGAGCGACCGCATGGTCGGTGAGGTTACCGGCCATGTTCTCGTCATAGTTTCCGAAAACCAGCTTGAACGTGGACCAGTCCCAGCTATTTTTGTCTCTAATGGAGAAGGACGCAGGATTTGCAGTAAAGTTCAACAAGACCAACGCGCGCCGGTCGCTATAAGATCGGGTGTACGCAAATACCTGTTCCTCCTCCTCAGCCGAGAGGCGGACGAAATCGCCGTAGATCTGGAAGGGAAGCCATCATGTATATAAATTGTTATCCATGAGACGACGTACGAGAACTTTGTGCGCCTTACGCAGCGCGAGAGCGCGCTTCCAAAATGTGAGCACGCTTGCCGGATCGGTCATCTGGGAAGCCACATTCCACTCTTTGAAGTCATC